CGTGTTGCGTATGCCAGTCGACCGAATTCCCCGAAGGGCTCTTTTCGCGCAACCACTTGAAGGGTGGAAGAGAGCCAGAGGCGGTGAAACAGTGACTTGGCAGCGAAGTATGAAAGTCATTACCAGTAAACTCAGCTGCGCTGGTCACTGCCGTCTTCCTGGATTGGAACCCCAGACGGGCCATCAAAGGCTAGAGACATTGTAATACATGGCCCAGTCGCGCCCTCAATGGCGCTTGTGCATCCAAGCTATTGCCTTCAAGGCATAGCTCCGTTTCCCATGAACGAAACTGCGGCAGCTAAAACCACTGTACGACGAGCACGCGATTATTACATCTGGCAATGATGGTGATGACTACTTAAATGCCTTGAGTAGTTAATAATAAGTGAGGTTTGAAACCAGCAATATTTCTAGACCTGATCTTCACAACACAGGAACACTAGTTGTCTATTTTCGGATATTTTAACAAGTGTTTACTTGACCGCTGAATAACATTGCTGTGAAACAGGAGCACATGAACCTTGGTGCACCGCAAAGCGTTTGAGAAAAGCTAGCCAAATAGCATATGTGCCTGCAGTTTCTAATGTTAAATGGGGATATCAAATATTCGATGTAGCATAATGAAGCTGACTACTGGTGCATAAATTCACAGCAAACTGAGTCCACTAGCCTGTGGGGAAAAATGAAATTCAGGAATCGAAACTGAACTTCGAATTATTTGCAGCAAACTGGGTTGTCGCGAACTTTGCGTTAAATTCAGTTAGACACTTAACACAAAATAGTGTGAAGTCTTCTTAAGCCACTTCAACAGAGCGTCACTTTTACCTTTGAAATCCATACCCAACTAACGATTCAAGAAAGATTTTAACGAAATGGATGAAACAGGAATCTTGTATACAGATATATTTTGTTCTTTCAAATCTCAAAACATATGGTAAAATTCTAGGCACAAGTCTTTTTCATTCTCGACTATTTCAACAAACTTTCGGTGGACGTCTAATGTTCGGCTGCAATTAAATTTGCATGGGCTTGCAAGACAAGGTTAGGTGTTTGTCAAAATAACGAATCACCGGCTAAAATAAAAAAGCTAACAATTACTAAAAGTCGACAGCATGCACCTCACCATGATCCAAATTAGGTAATTCCTGTGGTGAGTACTTTCCTCTCATTTTCTCCAAGTGCCAGATCACACTCTGCAGAGACATGCCAGCTGAGTGTCACTTAGAGTCACAATGTTTCCTTATCAGTAGCCTGTTCTCAACTGGGTCCTGAAAACGTAGGCTAACGCTTTGTCTTCTCCTGCAAGGGCGTATCACTTTGGGGGATGCTTTGCCTTCCCGAGGAGACTACACATTTATTTACCTGCCATTTTCCTGTGATCTTTTTCGTTGATCTCAGTTGTAGCATTCAAAAACAGTGCTCAATTTTGATCATGTTATAACCTTGGTAAATCTAAGCTAATTCTCAAAAACACTCCCTAACTTACTTCATTTGCCTGTCAGATGACAGAAAAAGGCAATCAATTAAACGCCTAACTAACCGTCTAGCTGCTTACAAGCCTTATCGAGCAAAGGTTAATCCGAAATGAACCACTGAAAAGACACGACCACCGATAACCCTCTGTTGATTTTGGTTTTATCTTCCATTTACTGTTTTGATTTCGTAGAATTCATGTTTAAGTGTTGTACAACTCCCAATCGTAACCTATGGATCTATAGGTATCCTTCATCAGCGTTCCTGGGATTGTAATATCCGGAAGTGGCCTATGCACGCATCACAACACTCCCTTACCAGAACTGCCTTACCTACCTGCACCCACTCAAAGCAAAAGAAATTCAGTGCGATCACATCCCACAGTTTCCTGATGTTCTGCGGAAAACCTGCTCGACACCCAATTTTACTCTCTCACACATGACACACATGAATATACAAGTGTACAGTGTGGTTTGTCTGTTCAGGTTCATCTGTGCCCCGATACATGTGTACAACAATCGTGTGAAAAAACGTAGGGTTGTTCTCATATTCATCTTGATTTCCGTCACTACTTCAAAACAATGCCATTTGAGAGTATTGATCTAACATCAGCGGAGTCCTGTGCCCAAAAGGTTGCACGAGATGTCGACCACAGTCAGATGCACAAACCGATCATTCGACATCCTGCATTGATGGTCTTGTTCTGTGTCCTGTGCGGTTCTGCTTCTTTGTCTGTCCTCACACTGGATGTTCTCATTATCACCAGATATGAAAAAGATGAGGGCTACGCTGGCCTTGGATGCTTTGCGGGCTTATTAGGACTAATCTTAACCTTAGTCACTTGTCTTTTTCTCTGCTACCAGTCCAATCTCATCGCCATAGTAACACTGGTACTGGATATAGTAGCTTTCTGTGCGAACATATCGTGTGCTACACTGACTGTGCTCTCCTTACGTGGATACACCCGCCTTGGTGTTTCCCCGACTCTACGTGAGCTTATGATTGGAATCACATTCTCCTGTCTCCTATGTGCATCGTTCTGCTTTGGCCATTTTGTACTCATATCAGTGGCCACCTGTACTCCGTGCAAAAGGAGATATCTGAAATAATCGACATTTAGGATCTTTGGATCATTTTCGGCGAAAAAATTCGTGATAAACGATAGAAAGTCACTTCGTTGTGTAATATACAGTGTATGGACTGTCAGAGTTCTGAAACGTTTCCCAGATCCCAAGTATGTTTTACCTACTGTCAATTTTTCATGTTACCGTCTTCCGTTTAACGTAAGGTATCGGTCGGATAGCTTTCAATTCTGTGATGTTCCGTCTCTGCCTACTAAAAGATTATACATACAAACCCGGTGTTTTTTCGCCGTGGTATTATCAGCGTCTTTAGCCTCGAGTAGTGCTATTTGCAACTTCAAGTGATGTTGCTGTTTTCACCCACCTCTGATCCAGAAATCCCGTAGTGACATCAGCAAGGGATGCCATAATAGACACACTGAAAAGTTGTCATAACGGTGAAACAAGAATTTCAGCATAATCCTGGCCAACTTTGTCTGATGCAAAATCATTTGCGTCTTTAATTGAGAGAAGCAATGAGTGACTAGGTGTCTGATTTACTCACTCCACTAAAGTGTTAGAAGGCAAGTCAAGCAGTATGGTGTACCGTTGCGCCCCAGAAACGTTTATGGCAGTTAGTATGTTTTCATTTCCAAACGGTTTATTCCGTATCACAACACGGAAATTGTGGGTGTTAACTTGGTAGAGCATTTTGGAGGAATTAAGTCAAGGTATAGCCTGTAGTGAAGATCTTTTGCTTCCGCCGCATCGCATGTGTGAAACGCAGGAAAGTGGTTGACTGAATCACTGTGTGGTGGCGTGCACGACGTTAGTGCTGCCATAGCATAAATGGGTTGGCAGTGGGCGCAAGCCATTTTGGAGTAGAATCATTCTGAAGACATTCTCTAAGATGCAAAGTTTTTAAAAAATATCCTTTGCTGTTTACAAACCAGTGGGATGTATAAATTTCACAACAAACTGCCACAACCAGACAGCGATATGAGAAATGAAATGAAGAAGAGTTCACAAGGGTACAAAACTGCGACGTTGGTAAACGCCTCATCTTAATCAGCCTCCTTCGTTTATATCGTCTGCAATTATTGCGAGTTCACATATTATTATTTTGAAAGGATGGCAGCAGTGGATATTTAGATGACTTAATTTACCTTCGTTAGACCAAGCGGTGACAAAAATCTATCCATCTTTCGTCCGCGGTTCACGATTGATTCCCATCACTTTTAAATTCTGAAGGAACAAGTTTACGTGTTCAATCCAGAATATTCTGGAAGCGTTCAAAAATATATTGCATATAATGATATAATAATAATACAATAACAATAATATAATGATATCTTGCGCTAATTTGATCCCAGGTAATTTTCACTCCGGAAAATATTCAGCCTGCAGTTGAAAAAAGATGTTTTTGTACGAACACGCCGACAAATAATGCAGTTATTTCAGTGAAATTTAGGTTGACTCAGTTGATGCCATAGTTCCATCGGCATAACGGATATTCATCGAAGTAGATGCACAAGCCGCAGAAATTCATCAAAATTGACAAAGCCATGACAGGTTCCAGATTTTGTCTGATTGTCGGGCTTTGTATTTATGACTTGTATTTGCAATTCTTTCATAGAAGCGGACGAAAACACATTTATGGAAGGCAAAGCTGAGAAAAAGTTGAGTAAGAAATTCTGAAATGTGATGCAGAGTTGTATTTTGTGGAAATGTAAGCCCAGATTGCTCAGGTGATCCCTAAGCTATGTAGCAAAGTATATTGCCTCTGGCAACACCGACAATTTCAATTATCCCAAGACAATCAGAAGTGTGAACTGGTTTATTTTCTGTCAACTAGTATCGATCCAGACAATAGTCCTTGGTGGTCTCTTATGGTGTGCTTGATCCATTCCATCACAGCACCTGATTGAGAACAAAAGATGTTTATCTCATAAACGTGATGCGTCAAATTCATGCAATATCTCAATGGAAAAATGGTGGAAATCACATTGCAGGCAACCCTGCATTCATAATACTTTCGAATGGTCACACTGGCTGAAATTCATTCAAGAACACTACAAGGTTTCATTTTTTATTAATAAATTTCCTAGACTACTACATGAATAGGATGCAGACTAGATGGTGGGATGCGTTTGGTAGAACGTTCGAAGAACAGTGCTTACCTGTTGTTCATAATAAGTGTCTTTTTTTGACTTAGAATTTTTGGCACAATCCCAGTGTGGTTGTCTAATACACACTAATGAGTGTTGCTCATGAAAAATGTTCCCTTTTACCAGCCATCAGCATGCTGGTTGTCCGTATGCCTAAATAAATCACCAGAATATTTTGAGCTATGACGAATTTTGAAAAAATCGATTTTTGTTGTTTTGTCGCTACATAATAACTAAGCTAGTATGTGGAATGCAAACACTATAGACGACTTTTTGAATAAATTCTTTATTCGTAATGAACTACTAATAAGGTTGCTGAAAATTCTTCTACAACCCACGACTGGTTTCGCCCTTCTTGAGGCTCATCAGGTAGGCGCAGAGAACTATTGAACTCACATAAAGGGGCTCCAAAATTCAAAATGTATTCCCTGTATGAAACAGAAAGTCATTTTTAATCAAAGTTGGGCGTTTGATCAAGTTCCAAAGCAACCCACGATGGTTTCGCCCTTCTTGAGGCTCATCAGGTAGGCGCAGAGAACTATTGAACTCACATAAAGGGGCTCCAAAATTCAAAATGTATTCCCTGTATGAAACAGAAAGTCATTTTTAATCAAAGTTGGGCGTTTGATCAAGTTCCAAAGGACAGCCTTCTAACGAGCCAAAGCTTCATAACAATGGCCTTCACCATTTCTGGGGGCAAGGCTATCATATCACATAAAGGAGCGCACTAGTCTACACGTCCAATATAACTTCTCTTCAGTGAGCACTTATAATTCTGTTTCCTCCTGAAAGTACGGTAAGTGATTGTCATACAAATGTGGATCGATGAAAACATGTAGAACAGCTCCTTCATAAAGTTCAAAATGATTTTCGACAAACGGTTGGCTGACATTTTATGTGTGAAATTTTACTCATGGCGTGACAACATATCTAAATCCCGGGATGACTTTTCAGAGGATCCGGTACATAAGAATTCAAAGTTGATATGCGGTTGCCGCGAACCTGCCACATGTGAAGGGATGTGGCCGCCATTTACAATGGAATTTCTCAAGGCTCGTGCGATGCAATGACGCACAAAACGTGCAACATCTTATACTGGCATCTTTTGCTGACACTGTGTTGTTTGATATCTTAAGCAATATGACCTTGACAGAGACAGACAGAGAATTTCAAAGTAAGTTTTGGGAACAGGTAGCGAAATCAATGTGATGGTAGTTGTAGACAAGTATCCGGTAACCGATGACATTATGATCTCGTTTAATGTCCGATCTGTTTGATTTGGTTGTGAAATGGGTAGAACCAACCATTTTGGTATATGACGAAAGACGCCGATATTTTTTCCGGTGTTTGTGTCGCTGCATCTGAATATCAACTGATAGGTTAGCTGGAAGAGAGAGAGAGAGAGAGACGGGGGACGAACGAACTATCTGCATGCTTGTAGGTGAGAGATGGAATGGGTTTTGCAGTAGAATTAGCGCGATTTGAAGCCGACATCCGTTTTCGATGGATTTCACAGGCAACACTGTGTTCCTTAGGGTGCATCAATTAAGTTTTACAAATACGACTGTGATTTCGCCTGATTACCGTCAAACTTTACTTCCCCATTCTCGAATAGATTGATCTATAGTAGTGAGAATATTAGATGGAGACAACTGAGGAAGCGATTGGGGTAAACTGTGGTCCACATTTACTTGTCTGTACTTAAGCAATCGACGAGAGCTATTGGGAGATTTTCCTGATTACGGATATCAGCAGAAAGACTAATTCCATAATCTCTGTTGTGAATCGGCCCCTTCAACAATGTTTGAAACCTGCGATTTTGGAAATACGACTTTCTTATTTTTCTGGATATCTAGCCTACCAGAAAAAACGACCGCACTAGGCTTGACTCTGGCAGAAATCTTTCTAGACCAGGCGACAGATAAACCCTGGGAGTTGATGTGCAGTACCACACTAATAAGGTCCATGCGTTTTTTCGCAGGTTATACTCAAGGTACACCGGTTATAAACTTGTTGACGAAGGTAGGCAGACCGATAATGTTCAGCTCAATCTTTTTTGAAGAAAAACCGATTTATACCGAACTGTGCGCAAGAAAAATGAAACATTTTTATGGTGTTCTTCGGCATCTCGATTTTCAGGTTCACTAACGAGACGCAACTCTGCGCATATTACTAGGAATCTGTAAGTAGTTCAGAAGAAAGATCGATTCACACGATGAGAGAAACTTAAATCGTTACTCTCGGAGTCACTTTACATGTAGGCATGTTATGTTGATTCTGTTTTTTTTTAGGATGGGTCGCATCATATTCTATCTTAGTCGGAGAAGGCCACACTGTCACTCAGCCGAATCGTTAGGTGTCCAACTACTGGCCAGAAGATCACCCGTTCGAAACTATGGACTTCATTGGATACGCACTACTGATGGTTCTCTAAAAGAATGAAACAGCTGTACACTACTTCTGGGCTTTTCAGAATAGACTGGCATTACTTACGGGATGAACACTCAGTTGAAAATTCCAGAATCCACTTCATTTACAAACAATATCCATGGACTACTTTTGCGACAAGTGAGTGAGTGGTATATCCGAAGCACTTGAAATTTTCCAACTTTTAGTATTTTCGAAATCAGAGTTTACCATAGATCTACAAGCATAAAACGTGGCTGTACAGCCCAGATGTATGCAACTTCATGCATACGGGATGTGTGATTACCGTCACACGAACTGATAACGTCATTTGAATCTGTGAGTCATTAATCTTACCAATTCATCTCTAGTTACTGTGTTACATACGCCGGTAGAATAGATGATGGGCTTGAAAGGCGGTTAAAGAGAGGAGCTATGAAAAAAGCCTAGCTTACCTAAAATTGAATGGAAGTCTAATGTATGAGTCACTGTGCTTCTAACTGACACAAGACAGCCCAGAATCATCCATCGTTCTAACATGAGGCATCATACTTCTATTCGTTTGAGTAAAATTGTTCAACCGTAGAAAATTCGAGACTATACAACCAATGTAAAACACATGACATTCTGTCGCGCGTAAGATTTGAAAGGAGACAATAAAGAGGTTGAACTATAAGTGAACAAACCGACATGCTTTTGGAGTTCACTCGTGTACTCAATCACTAGTCTCATGAGGTCCATTCAATGTGTTGTGCTGTCAGACAGTTTTTACCTGGAAGTCATGTATGGAGTCGTTTCATTTTGATTTCGGAAGGAAATTTTCGGTCACCAAAAACGTCTTTTTAGGGCGGTACTCCGTACGTACACAGGCTGAATGCTTCTTTCTTACAGAACTACCATCTTAAGTCCTCTGAAAATTCCATGTGTCCTCATTTTGATCACTCCTTTATCGAACAAATGACAAATTTGTGTTGTAATTAAACCGCAACAGAGCGCACTGTAAGATTTTCAGGAGATTGAAAGTATGCCTCAAGAGATTCTACTAATGACAGTCAACCCTGTCACTGCACTGCAGCTTGTGTACTCTGTACTTTACCACGCTGTTCTAGACAGTCCAGTATTGAAATGCAGATTTCCTCACGTCTATCAAATCAAACGGTCAAAGGCTGGTGAATGTATTTACTGCACCCACAGTTTGCGGGCAACATTATGTTCGATTTGACAGTTGGAATGAACGGATGACTCCTCGGGTGTCGTGGCAAATTCTCTTGTGGTAAATGATCAAAGCTGAGAAAGCACCTGTTCGTGGCTCTCACTGGTATGATTTTATGGGTTTGGGCACCGAGATGGTGTACCGGCTCTCCTACAATTGCCAAGTACACCACCGGAAATATCTCTCGACACCGTGATTATCCGTGATTGTGTAATCGTTCCACTTCTGCTTACAGTAATCCAAAAAACGAGAACCACGTCACTGCTGAAGTCTCTCATACCAACTTTATACTTTATACTTTCTATAGTAGCATATAACTTCTATTGTTCTCCAGTCTTTGAAATAGCATCTTGTAGGTCGTATACACAGTTCTGATTTTACTTAACACCCCTTTTCACCTTCCGAACCATACCGCTGTTGATACCTTGGAGCCAAATAATATTTAAAGAATAAACAACCTCACCGATGACACCAAGTGACACAGGCGAAAATCTGATACCAGCTGTTTGGAACCTAAGGCCGAAAAAGCTCGATACATTTTTCCTACTGATGATTAGAACATTCAGTGTTAGCTAAGTGCACCTGAGCCAAATAAGTAACTCAAACCCGACATTTAAGTGCCGTGGTTAGAAACTGTACATTCTACTCTGTAAAAATTATAAGCCACCGTTTGTGCTACTTCGGAGCGACGACACGTCTCTTAAATTTCTAGCGTCTTTTCGCATATCTAATTCCGTTTCACCTCCTGCCAGTCACAGATAATTATATGCGTTCATAGAGCAATATAATGTTAACACATCTGTGTCAAACAGTTACATTGGTGTGATTCACCTACAGGCTCTGGTAGTTCGGACCCAAAATGTACGATCATGAGAAAGTTCTGTTCCAATGCACCGGTTAATTTAGATTTACTGTTCGTGTTGACTGACCATTGGGTGGTTTGGTGGTTTGGAGTTGTCCACAAAATTTCCGCCGTACTTTTGATTTTTCGTACTCCTGTTCCTTCATTCATTCCTGCCTTCAAGGTTGAGATACTCAGCATCTTGAATAAAAAAGCTATCGGACGAATCTCTGAGTTTCCACTTTGTCTTTGTTCATATACACTCTATGTATCATAGCAGCCTTCACAAAATTGTGGGTTTTGTACACGATAGACACAATTACCATAAATAAGTGAGACAATATTCTCAGACAGGGGGCTTACACGGTTGTAATTTTACTGAAGTGAGTAATTGAGTGATTAGGTAGGTAGGATTAGGAGCAGAATCGTACAAGCATTTTCGCGAGCCACGAAGGTTCCAGAGAAATGTCAAACGACGATTCAAAACTAGAATTTGAAAATTTCAATCGTCATCATCGTACAGAGGCTACGTGCTATCGTATAAGGGTGCCAGTGACAACGGTAATAAAACTAATGCACCATCTCGGAGCTTGACCACGACCACACTCAGTGATACTTATTTCACTGGGGGTATTCTTCTACTATACGTTTTAGAAATTCTAAGGCAAAAGGTTCATTTTTTATTATTTCTTACGGCTCAGTAGTTTGGCATTACAAGCAGCAGTAAACGAAACATAAAAAACTATTGATCAATATATTACTGGGATGCAAATACTGCTGGAGTGACAGATGCCAAACAATTCCTGACGGATAATAAAACCACAGCCTTTCGATCTGTCCTGATAGAGGAGGAAACTCACTGTCAACTCCTCTGAAGTCTTGCAATCGGCAGCATTTGGTTACCCCTGAATCATTCGAAATCCCGGTAGGGGTGGTTTCGTTTCTAGTTGACTGGTATGCCAGATGTGTTAACTACTTTGCCGCAGCAGCGACCTTCATTTTTGTGGCAACTTCTCTTGACTTTGCGCGAGACATTCTCACCTTCAATCATTTTGAAGCGGCTACTGAACACTCAGCTTAAAAAATTATTACTGTATAAATCTTTCGACCTTGATTACTTACTCATTCACGGTTTCTTGTGCTGATATACTCTGAACTCAAGTAAACAGATATGCTGTGCAAATCCTGTAAACATTATCTTCCGCTTAAGTGCCGTTTTAGCTGTAAAATCACAGTAAACAGAAACATCTGTTCACTGAAGAATGACACATCTCAGTAGCGGACTGTCATCATGCTTATAGACGAGTGAACACAATAATATGATTTGCTTACTACGACCCATCTGCACCTATTAGTACGCATGTGACGACTACGAGTAAGAAAATTTTGATTGGTTGATCGGGTTTCAACCTAATCCTAAATGAATGTTTGATAGTTCAAACGCTGTGTCAATTTCAACTCACTTACAACACAATGCAATTTCAGGCTATTGATCTAGCTTCCATCGAATCTCGTCGGAAGGAGAACGAACACCATCACAGTGATCATAATAACACGCACAAACCGATCGTTCGACAACCTGGACTGATGATCTTGTTCTGTGTTCTGTGCGGCTGCGCCGCTTTGTCCACTCTGACTTTGGATATCCTAATACTTACCCGATTTAAGGGACAGAGTTTGCATTCTGGAATCGGAATCTGGACGGGACTACTCGGACTTCTCGTAATCGCAGTCACTTGTCTGTTTCTTCGACTCCAGACCAACTTAATGGCCATCGTCACACTCGTGTTGGACACGTTATCCTTTTGCGTTAATTTATCGTTTTCTGTACACATTACTTTATCTCTACATGACCCCACCCGAGTAAGTATGACCAAAATAGTGCGTGATCTAACAATTGGACTCACAACTTCTTGTTTGCTTTACGCATTCTTTTGTACAGGTCATTTCATTCTAGTGTCGCAGGCCACGTGCACCCCTTGTAAGCGCAGATATACGAGCTGAGAATCATTTCTTGTATTTTTTATCACTTAGAACGACTTATTTCATATCAAGTCACATGAAAACATCCTCCCTTATTGGCTGAATTTTAGGCGTTGTTGGTGCCATAGAAACTCATGGAACGTAAATGTTTGGTTACACTCATGGGTACAAACATTGGTCCTACTCTATCAGAGGTCCAATTGTTTAATGATCAGCCCAGGAGGCAGCTTTGTGCTCCGCTCACACTAAGCTGACTTAACCGATCAAGAAGTCAGATACTTAGGGGAGGCCAGTAATCACGAGTGTCCAGATTTACCAAGATGTTTATTATAGGGCATACCTGTTCAAGTGAGTGAACGAAGCGTGGCAGATATTTGCGAACATGCGCTGTGTGAGTGGTCGATAATGAATGGTCGATCGCAGGGTTAAAGGTGGCTGACCGATATCTCCGTCTGTCTGGGATATTTCTGATGAGTCCGCTGTAGCACTGCAGTAAAAAGTGATCCTTTGTGCGACATAGTTTGCATTGAATCACTGGACTTACGGAATGCCACAGCATGGGAGAGGTCAGTTTTTCAACACCGTCGCTGTTATTTCTTCTGAGAAGGAAACGTTTTGCTGGGGAGATTGAGTCGGCGAAAACGGCGAGTCACCGGTCCCGCATGAAAACCTGATTGAAACTTCTGATTTGAAAGAGGTATTTTGATCTGATCAAAAGTAATAGCCATTCAGTTGTTCGAGCACACAGCCTTCGCAAAATAAAACGTTCCGTTGATAAAAGCGGGGTCATCTCTCTGAAGAACTTGAAAGGGGTTGAGTTTTTCTTACGGAATGCTTCCTTAATGTATGATTACCAAAGGACAACGAGTTGTTTTCCCCCGTCATATATACGTATATATATATATATATTATAGTACGAAACTGGCAGAAATAATGGTAGTAAATCATGAAGTACTTTCATTAGCTGTGCCAGTTTCGTGTTGACAACAACTCTAATTTCCTGTGGAAAACTCATGTAACTTCGGCCCAGCTGGTGATGTTATCGAGATCTAGTCGGAGACTTGAGAACAATACTAAGAAGAATTGCAGTTTGCGGATTAGTTAATCTACTCATCCAGTCCAGTCGAGAGCGTATTTTCGGACCTATGCGCACTACGAGTCGCAGGTTTAAATACGAAAAACAAACGTGCATCAGGTGTAAACGGGGTAGAACAAATCTTCCTGACGTGAACCCGCATGACTTCAGTACTTCATGGTAGCTGAAATTTCATGACGTAATGAAGGAAGACCACTTATCATCCTGTTATTAAAGCCTAGTAGTAAGTACACAAGGTGCGGAATCTCGTATAAATTGGCATTTCAATATTTCAAAGGATACTTATTTTTCCCTAACACATTACAGTGACCGAAAATTGCATTGCCATCGGAATAGTTACAGAGTCTTTAGGTCATCTTTATTTAGCAAACTTACACAAAAGGTTCGTTGCTTATTGTTATGAACGCCTGGTAATACAATTTCCTTGGTTCAGAATAATGAAAAAAACTTGATAAAACCCAGGTCCAGGAATCGGTTCAATCAGGGAATAACCCGACAGTTGAAATGGTCACTTTTTATCGGCTGGCACGAATTGCATCGTTTCCGGGACTATATATGACCCCGCGACACGCTGGCGCACTGTTCTCATGTGAATACACGCTCGTTGTGATTACATTTGATTTTAGTAGATTTATTAACTTTTCTTTCAATTAAGACTTTACCTCGGAAGTGTAACCAATCTATGGATGATCATATACACGTTCTTCGCACCGCACCCCCGTTTGAAGCGGACAGGTGTTAAGATAACACGATCCGCGGACTCGACCACCCGTATCGTCTTGTGATGACAGCGCACAAAAACCCACTTCAAAACCACTTACACTACACCCAGCGAAACATCTATAGAGTCAAACAACTCACGAAATTCAAATAGTCAAACAATTTTCTTCAGAACCTTAGAAGCTAAACCACCAGACACTGAACGATGCGTATAGCGACAACACAACACCAGCTACCGAAACAACCCGATGCCTGTTCAGCCAAAACCACATACTCCATATTCTGTTAGCGGCATTCAAAGCATCATAAAGTTGATGAGTTTATCCCCTGATTTCAATTAATCAATGGCTTTAACAGCAATCCATTGAAATCCTCAAGTTCAGGGATCTGCTATATACAACTAGTCTTAACTTTTGGCTGGACCACAATAGCCTCACCGGCTTTATTGGTATAATCATCAACTGGAAAGATTGAACTCATGTGTAAGTAGGCAAAATTTTCTCCATTAAGCCAAATATCCCTTTCCGTTTTGTGGAAGTGAGAAGCAGTTGGTGACTGAAATGCAAAAAGCACAATTCGCAACGTACAACAGCAGTTTCAACCTCACCAGAGTAGAACTCAGCTTCCAGTTTTTCTTTGAATACCAAGTCGAAACCCACAGCGTATGGACTACTGTCAGGACGCGCCCAGACATGAAAAAAGCACATGTGCAGAGAGTGACGCATCCCCAAGGTCACCATCGGTTCGACACGTCCGGAGAGTAGGTGAGCTGGCGGAGCTCACCAAACACGGCTTGGCGATATACGACCAGCGTAGTGAGCCTGAGACTGTTCACGACCGGAACATCGCCATTGGCTGTACGGAGCGAACAAATGAACGACCACATTTGGCCATTTAGTCATCCTATATATTTAGGCAAACGCTCTATATGTTTTGTCCTGACAGTACAGCCGTATCCCTAGTTCTCTGTCTTCTCCCTGTCGCGTAGTCTGGCAGCCTCAGTGCAGGCGTGACCCAATGGACGGCCACCCACGATACAACAACTGCTGGGGTTGGTCTTCAACTAACGCCTATATTCAACTTTTCTAAGAACATTTGAAGGTAGGGTATCCCAATATAAACGCTTATTGGATTTAGTTACTCTGTACTTCGTTGTCCTTAAATATTTCTGTTGAATTTCATGATGTACAGTGCTAATTCTTATTCCAAATGCTTTAAGTACATCACATTTAAAAATTCTAATGCCTTACGACTTTTTAGACATCTTTTCATCTACATCTATCTGATATGAGTTCCCTTTATTAAGATGGATGCTGATGGATATCAGTCCAAGGTAATTTTGCGAATGATTATGAACAAATAGAAATATAGACAAAATGCTTCTCTGGCCAAAAGAGGTAGATCTGTCCCCGGCCGTTCTGGTAAATTTCGATTGTAATATTAGAAGTTTAGAAAATCCAAAATAAAAAAAATTGCATGCTTTTCGTTATCGCTGAAGCTACCGTATCAAAACGCGGACGTCGGTAAAGAGGTACAATCCGCGAAGATATTAAGTGCTTTATTGTAGTGAAATAATTTCCGTTTCACGGCCTGGTCTTCAAATCATAGTTGTTCTTAGTTACTGCAGTCTTCTTCCTTCCGGTTGGAACTACTCGACAACAAAAAGAGATTTTAAGGAGCTGGAGAAATCGATCTAACAGGTTACGTCCAACAGTCGATAGCACAGTACCATTCAATCAATTCTGTGATCTGCTCACCGGCGAGGTCAGCTGATGTGTACTAGATATGCACTAATTTGACAGCATGAATACCCAGCAAAGGCCTCAACAGCAAGCACATCCAACAAGGACCTAAATTAGACGATATTGTTCAGCACGACTCATTCCCACTTCACAACTTCCCTACATCGCCTGGCTAATGTCAGTTCTATAGTGAGTATCGTAAAAAGCTGGAGGCTATTGCGTTACTATTTCTGATTTCACGCACGAGCAGAAGTGAGAAATAACAAATGAATACCACTTTAAATTTGAGTTGTGAAAGCACTTAAACGCGCCAAATCCAGGCGCCGGTTTAAATAAGATGCCTTATTGGTTTCAGTGAAAGAACACTGGGTCCTCCAGTATGACAAATGCATGTCACGGAAATAAGTAGTGTGTCATCGATCCGGACCGATTAGATTATAGCGTCTGCCATGTTTTGGAACCAGAGAACGAAATCATATCGAAAAACTCACCGGCCCACAAAACACCGCCTAAAAATTTCTCGCCACATGATAATTAAACGGAATGGATTGTCACAAGTTTGCAGCAAACTTTCCTGATTTTTAACGTGTGCTGTGGTATATAAGTCAAAACCTGGGTTTCCGAGACTCATTTACAGGAATACGCGCATTCATAGAATGCATGAATTGAGCAAGGTGCAAAAAGAGTGGTTCTATCTGTTCGCCTGTGAAGAATCTTCAAACGGAGGATTGAGTGTACGTTCTACGAAGAAAAATACAATGCAAAAGACTACGAGTGAGTTCAACATCGTGGCGTCGTTTAACACGATGAAATAAGTCTTTTGAAAGGTACAATTAGCTTGCACTCGTTACACGCTACTCGTAAGGTTGCTGAAAATTCCTAGCATGCACTCTAGTATAACGAGGGGGGAAAGGGTTTGGTTGGCATAGTTTCTCCGATCTTTCGCGATGAGACATCTGCTTTTGGAGTTAAAATTTTGACCATTTTCGTCATATACGGAAAAAGTTGCCCCATCTACCGATGTCACAGTTTCTAGCTTGTATTTTGGATGTGAATGTAAAATTAAAATCCAACCGAGTATTCCTTTTTACTACTTTTGAATGGAGAATTGCTGTCTGTTGTTTGGTCACCTCATAGGTCGATAAACATGTTTGCACCAATTTCGAGACCACGTGATCACAAATTTACCAGATGAGTGCCAGAGACCTGGTAGCCTGTCTGCATGTGATGACTTCACTGAAGTGTTCACAATACAGGATCTTGTTCGTTCTTAATACGTGTAAAAATCATCATCATTATCAACAGCATGACATCAGCATTTA